TTCTATGCCATCTTCCATGGTGGCACAAGGAGCATGATGCGAATAGCTTGCGTCCAGCCGATATTCTTCCTTCTCTTCACCCGTGATGGAGATGCATGCCCTAGTCTTCCAATAAGTTTCCTCCAGAGGGTGCTTATGTTCTTCGTAGACATACTCCACAGCTATGTCCCAATCAGCGTAGTAGGTCTAAAGAATCCCCATAAATCGGTGGTGCGAAATGGAGGATTTACACCCCGGCTTATACCAGATCTTTGTAGTACATCCCATGGTAGGGGTAGGCGGATCTTCTTGAATGGCGTCCTCCTCCTCATCATCATTAGACAATACAACGACCTCCACTTCTTCTTCGGGCTCTTCCTAGAATGGCTCAGGCGTAGATGCAGGTGATGGCGAGTCAACTTCTTGCTCGTGGGGTTCCTCCTCCTCATGTGACTCCATGGACTCATACAAGCCATGAGGCGGGTTGTAGCCTCTGGTGCTAATGCGAGCGGTCTTATTGGCACGAGGCATCTATAGAATTAGATTTAGTTAGGTTAGAAGCAATAATTTTCATAACAGAGTAAGGCAAAAGAAGCATAAAATTTAGCAAAAAACAAGAGTGAGATGGGAAGCATGAAAGGATTGAAGCAAAAGAGGCTAAAACAACCATTGCTAACTAGGCTTGCGTCCTACATTCAACACGGCTCTGATACTAATCTGTCACACCTAATTTTAAGAATAAAATGGGATGCAAAATCTTATGTGCATCCAGAGATCAGTCACACACATAAGCCGACAAATTATAAATAGTATCATCACAAGTGTTTATTACATCACGAATAATAAGACATAGTCTTTACATAAATATAGCGGAAGTATAAAGAAAAATCTCTCGTGTAAGCTCCATATCACAGGGACGTCAACTGGTTGACCACAAGTCTAGTAATCCTCAGGAAAGTCGTCATTACCATAGCCAACTGTTACCCATTCAGGATTTTTATCCAAATAATGAAAGTAAACAAGCGTAAGTATGTGTCGTATTCAACAAGTGTAACATGGGGTTCATGAGGCTCAAAAGGCTTGACACAGGTTTAACAGCATTCAGCTTTTAATTGTCACAATTTTAGCATAAGAGTAGCAACAAGTTGTTTTAATCCCATAGTAAACACATGATCAATGTAAACAAGAATAATGAATATCATAAATGGATAATTCTTAGTGATCATCTATTCTATAAATGTTCCAAGGCCGCTTGTGATCGTGAGCATGGCTGATATACCAGTTTTACACTGTGCAGAGGTTGTACACTTTCACTGTAAGTCGTGATACTCATATGCCTAGGTTAATTACTCTCAAAAGACTTCCAAGGTGAGCAGGCAGGGTTCACTATGAAACCTTTCAATGGTTCGTCTAACAAGTTAGGGCCATTAGATTCACTCGGCAAACAGACATAGAAACCCCCCTGTCGAATGGTACAATTCCATCATGGCTATACACATAAGAGTAGAGGCTGTCCTATACAAAATTCGTCAAGCCATTCTTATGCCAACAAAGGTAACCACTAACAAGCTAGAAAAGGTCCTCATACTGAGCTAAAGCATGAGCCATGTAGCCCTCACAGCTGTACTATAAGTCCTAGATGATCACTTATAAATAAGTACTTAGGGAGAGGAATTTGAAGCATTTAGAAAGTAGCTAAACACTCCAGCCCCCTATTTTGAGTTGCTAAAAAATCATATTTTAATGTTTATTGCATATACCATTAGCCAAGTTACAAGATCATGGTTTAATTTAGCACTAGCAAAGCTACCCAATGCATATCCCATAGGAGACAAGGTTTAACTTCAATTCTAGGGAATCTTTATCAAGGTGACACATGCAATATGAATTAAATGTATTAAAGTTGATAGGAAACAAGGATAATCCCATGCTATACTTGCCTTGAACAAAGTGCTCCTGCTGTTCCTGCTAGTCAAAATAGTACTCTTGATCACCCACGAATTGCTTACCGTCTATACTCAATAATCACAGCAACATACAAGCATCTAGAAGCAATCATGCATAGCAAATAAAGGTTATAGATTAGAACAGTACATCAACAGCATAAAATCAAGATGAGAAGTTTGTAAAATGAAGCTACATCTCGCTATGAACACACAGACACGAAGATCACAAAAATCGGAGCTAAAACAAAGAAGTTATGAATTAAACTAGATTTCCTTTATTAAAATAATAGATTAAATCTAACCTTGAATTTTAAAAGTTGAAAACATACTTAACAGTAGTATGAACATGTAGATTACGCAATTACGAATCTAACGCAACTTGAACGGATCAAATCGGAGTTAAAACTAAGATTTTATGGCTAAAATAAGATTAATGGCAAAACTATAAATAGATGAAACTTGATTTTAGAATTTAAATTAATAAAATTGGATTTGAAACTGAACCAGGGATTGTGGGCATGAAAACGAAGAAATACCGGGGTTCTTTACAAAAGATATAGGGGCGACGGGTTCTATTCTAGAAAACTTCAGGGGCTCTTTTGCAAAATAGTCGGCCGAACCGGTATGGTGAGATCTAGACCGTTAGATCTGATTTGGACTGCTCGGATTAAATCGGAGGGGGAGAGAGAGAGTGCTATCGCCGGGGAAGGCAACCGACGGTGGCGGCGGCCATGAACGGTGGCGAGAAGCTCACCGATGGAGCTAGATTGGGGCCTACGGACCACCACAGAGCAAAGCGAGGGCATAGGGAGAAAGAGGAGATGACGGTGAACTTACCTAGATGGAATACCAAGGCAGGGGACCGACGACGACGCGTGGTGGCTGCGTAGAACCGATAGTAGCGGCGAAGCTTAGGGTTGCGGCTTTGCTGCGGCTCAGAGCGAGGGCGGCGGTTTCGGCGCGACTGGATGGAGGCGGTGGGTGCATAGGGGCGCTATTTAAGGGGGAGTCATGCTTGGGGCGCATGCCAGGACGTGGCGTGGCAGAGGAGGACTCGACGGTGGGAGCAGTGTCCATGCTGGACATGAGTTGGAGGAAGGAGACGACGCCGACCAATGGGCCCAGCGTGACAGCGGATGAGAGCGCGGGGTAGGGCTGTCTGCCAAACAGAGAGGGAGAGGGGAGCGCCCGCACTCGGGCTTAGGCTGCTGGCCACGGCTTTGGTGGGGAGAGGGGAAGCGGGAGCAGGCCGACCTGCTGCCGGGCTTGGCCTGGAGGGGAGCTAGGCCACGGCGGAGGCATGGGCCAAAACAGCCTGCGACGAGGAAAACCGGACCGGCGGTGAGGGAAAGAGCGGAGCCGGGCCTGCGAAAGCTTGGCCGAGCTGGGCTGCTCGGGCCAAAATCAAGGGAGGAAGAGAGGGGAAAATAAAACTCCTTTCCTATTTTCTTAACATATTTTTAAATCCAATTGAAACTCAAATTTAGTTCTTTTGCAAATTTCAATCAAACCAAAACATCACAAATAAAATATGCAGCAACATGTATGCACATACATGTATGTCGACCTATATCTGATTTTATTTTTAACAAAGTTATTTTAAATACTCATAAAAGGCATAATTAAATCATTTCTCCTATTTTAAAATCATGTAAATTTTAGGGTGTTACAGGAGGTAGGATTGAGAACTTTTGGATACGTGTTTTGTCTATTCTTGCCAAAAATCATAGATTGGGAGACTTTATTGGAACTCTTGGAGATGCTTTTAGGCCCAAGGTCTTGGTATGTTCTGAGCTCCGGTTGACCTAGCTCGAGGGGCGCCGGCTTGTCCGTATAGAGCGAGCCCACAACATATAAGGGAGATGGTTAGGTTTAGTGCCACATCGGTAATTGATGGTGGGAGTACAACATATAAAGTGGGGCAGCCCTTATCAGACTAATATTTTGCCTCGACGTAGGCCTAAGGCCTTGGTATGTTGTGTGCTTCGGTGGACCTAAGCCGATCGGGCCAGATTCTGCTACGCACCCTAGCAGGATTTTCTGCCCCAAGCGCCGATCAGAGTGTCTTGTTGCTACAGCTGCTGTGATAGCGTCATAATTTGATTATTTGCCATTGACGCCCAGTAGCACGTGCTAGGATCGTCGACCTTGTTCTTCTCGGCCAACGTTGCTCGTGAGGCCGTCAATGATGCCACACGTGCTTGTGCCGGTCGTCCATCAGATCTACAAAAAATGGTCTGGGCTTGGATTGGGCATCGATAGGATCGGGCCTAGATAATACCCATAAAAAAACTAATTATGTCTCTAAAAAGTTCCCTTCCCTGAGTGTCCACAACAGGCGACTCGGAATTAAAAGCCCGCATTCACACCTTAAAATTTTAATGAAATTAATTTGATAAGATTCAAAATGTCATAAAGGCACTATGTATTAATTAGTGTGCTAAGGTAAAAGCCCCACCTCAAGTTAACATACAGATTATTAAAATACACGTTACACTCAATGGCTAAACCCATTTCAAATCAATATACATGTAACTATGACATAGTGAAAAATCAGCATCAACCCATGGTTCAACCCATTCAAACGAACAAAAAGAAGAATCAAATCTCAACCCATCCAACCCAATTTTCTAGTAAACCCAACCGAGCCCAACTCGCTAAGTAAATCGTACCATTTCCACCCATGCAAAGTACACCCACTTAAGAACCCAATCTATTATTAAACCATTTTCAACACAACCCATTACCATTAGCATCATGTGTTTAAGTTCACAATGCGATTGTCCGATTGCAAAGAGTTATTATTCTCTTTAATTCAGTAGGAACAACCTTGTACATGCATGTCTGTAGTCTTCACTTCAAATATTTGTTGAACCAGTCAAGCATGTAAGCAAGAGCTTCTTCAGCGGTTCTGACAGCAAAGGGATCCGTGGTATTATATCTGCAAGCAAATCCATGTGCAACTCCAGGAAAGATCTTGGCGAAGTATGGAATCTGCAATCATTGACAATGCCACAGATGTTCATATATAGGTGTAATTGGTAGCCAGTGTTACTGTTGTTAGTAGGAACTCACCCCATTTCTTTGACGCAAGGCATTCACGAACTGGTAAACTAGTTTTGGCGGTGTGGACGTATCATTCTGAGCTCCAAGGATCTCAATTGGGCATTTGACCTCTGAGTTTTTGGAATAATTTAGATTACGAATTTATTAACGCAAGACTAGTTTCACAAAAGTCATCCCAAGCAACCAATGCACAATGCACAATGCAAGGCTGTAAATACAAAAATGATGGGCACACCTTTCATATCTTCAGCCGTCACTGTTGAAGGATGAGAAAGGCAAACTACTTTTATATCGTCAGTTTTTGCTATCTCGGCAACGAATTTTCCTGGCAAAAAGAAACAATGTTGCAAGAATTATTATGTTAAATGTGTTGCCTCAGAAAGTATTTTGAAAACGAAAGTTAGTGTGCCAAGCTTGGCGACTAATAGTGTTTGGTAAGTTGATGGCTTCACTCACCACCCCAGCAATAACCGCCAACAGCAATGCTCTTCCCTTCCTTCTTCAAAGCAGCAAAGAGTGGCTTGGCGTCTTTGGCAGCTTTTACCTGTCAGATCGTTTGGATACTCAATGAATTTATTTTTAACTCATGATAAAATGTGATGCAACATATTGTTAACAATGAATTCTTGTTACGATGAGCTTAAGCTGAAAATTGAAAGGGGTACGAAAATTATTTATGACAAATAAATGGAACAGACCGGGGAGTGAGACTTGATCCACTCTGAAATGTTTTTATTTGTGTCATAAAAATCCCCGTTGAAGAAATCCGGCACCACGACAAAGTATCCAGCCTCAGCAACTTTATCAGCGATCGTTCTGTATTATGAAACATAATCCAGAGCTAATTAGCACTCAACCAATTAAAGAGGGGCATCCTTATGGATAATGTTGTTTCTTACTTTGCAAAACACTATGTAGTGTGTCTCATATATAGGTCAATTTAAAGAATCCAAAGCATGGTTAGTTTACTCTTGAACACAAATTCACAAAATCAAGCATCGGTGAGACATTAAGTAAGAGAAAGAAGTGGATATTGTAAAACGAACTTTCTCATTTTTGTTGAGATATTCATTCATCAGGAAGTGGATGAAATTGCCCTTTTAATTACATATTGGATTGTTCCTTTTGAGTTTGCGAGACTGTTGTTCTTGCCCTTCCTGTGAAGGGAAATTGTGATTTTACCCCTCCTTTTGTCACGTTGTATTTTTTACCCTCATATTTTCAAATTAAAGGAGTCATTTTCCCTCACTCTAAGTTTTTGTTGAGTGTTGGGAGATTAAACAAATAAAAAAGATAGAACCACATGGCACGACCAAACTATCCCTTCCCTTCCCTTATCTTGTCATTCACATCACACTGGTTCGGTCACACATAAAGTGACCCATCTAAACTGAACCCTAGCCCAGGCGGTGGCAGTTCGTGTATAGAGTTGAGGTGCCCTTGGAAGTAAAGGCCTGTGGTGCATGCGCAGGACATGGCTAGAGTCATACTGAATGCTAGCTAGGTGCGAAGATGTGCACAAATATGGGCTGGGCAGTTGGATTGAAAAGAGGAGCTGGCGGTAGGAGGCGCAAGGATGAGATGACTATAGAAGCAGGAGGCACACGACTGCGACCTGCGCTCAAGGATGAACTTGTGGTCGACCAAACACAAGTGCAATGGGCCAGGTGAGTGGGACAAGGTTGCCTATTATGAGCTATGGAAGACAAGTCTATTGGGAAAAACAACAATCCAAATGAAAAGGAGGATATATGATGATGATGCTGACACATATTCACTTATGGCAGTAAGTGATAGCAGCTATGACATTGATGTGGCTGCATCATCTGACTCTAGTGCTTGGTTACTCTGACCCTAGGTATGATCATCTTATATTTTCCTATAATGTTGATGATCCATGTATTGATGAGAATGTGGTGTTCCTAGGAGTGGATCAATGCAAATCATAAGTTACCAAACATGTTATCTTGGATGACCATTCTTTTCTAGACCGTGAAAAAAGACAAGTATGAGAGAAGTATGCAAGAGAGCCGATAAGGGCTGCAAATGGAATTTTTGCATCTTCAAGAAAGATGTACATTGGATGAAAGGTGAAATTAATTTCTTTCTTACTTTTTTCATTAAGTTAAGTTCATCAACTTCTTGCATTCTTTTGCATTCCCTTTGCACTAAAAAAATTGTGTATTATACATTTGTTGGTTAAGACGAGTGGACCTAAGTACTTTTGTAGTCTATTCAACAAATGTGGTGAAACATTGGTGTTGAATAAATAGGTAGCTAACAGAGTGGTGGACTTGTTGAGGATGACCCTAAAATAGGACCATATGAGTTGCAGGATATGATGTCTTAAAATAAGTACTCAATGCATATTCTATATGACAGTTGCCAGAGGAATAATGAGAGCATTAGACATAGTATGTGGGAAGTAGAACAGCTATGACTTGCTTCCTACCTATTAATTAAGATGAGCTTATAAGATCTGTACCTAGCAGCATTGTTGAGCTCGGCACGAAAGAGATCAATTGAGATGTGTGTTTTGGGACGTTCTTTGTTGCTTGTAAATCAAGCATTGATTGGGTTTTGCAAGTTTGACGGCCCTACATTGCCATGGGTGCCACTTGGCATTGGTAGTATACAGGATGGTCATAAGTTAAAATTAAAATGGTTTATCTTAGTACTATGTTGTATTGTTTGTAGACCGAGGTAGTAACTCATTAGGTGGCGAAAGTTCAGCCTATGAGGTGCCTATTTAATGACGCCAAGTCGCCAATGACCATCCAATCTATAAACAAGTTCTAAACTTAAAAAAAACCCGAAAGCAAGTTGGTTGTGTATGTTGGCCCATAGGATCATCGGCTCAGGTGAGTTAACCACTCACCAGTCTTGTCGAGCACCCGCTAGTGTTGCCGAGCACCCACTAGCCGTGCCGACCACGAACAAGTGTTGTCCGTCCCCACACACTATGGCTAGAGCTAGAAGAAGAAGGGAGAACAGAGCATGCACGCACAATACAAGATACCAGCGTTGGCCGAAGCCCTGTATGTGAGATGGCAAATCTGAGCTCTCTTTACTGAGTTGCCGTGGTAGTCTATTTATACAACTCTATCCATCTAGTCCTAGTACAGCTCACATACTGCAACAGTGACTAGATAACTTACAGGGCTGACTCTGCGCCGGTCACTGCATGTGCCTACAGTGCTGTAGGTGAGCAGTTCGACACCTGCACCTGCAGCGGCTACAGTATCATAGCAGGGGGCCTTTTCGGCGCCGCCTTCCCCTTGCTGTGTTCACACAAGGTAGCAGTAGATTATCTAACAATCTTTCCCTAATCCTACTGCTAACCCTTGTACCCCCTCCATGCTGATCATCTCCTTCAGCTCCGTGAGTCAAAGACGTCCGAGTGGCTTGGTGAGGACGTCTGCGAGTTGCCGACCAGTTTTGATGAACTCGATGACGATCTGCCCTCCATCGACACAGTCCCTGAGGAAGTGGAACTTCACGTCGATGTGTTTACTCCAGTTGTGCAGAACCAGATTCTTTCCGAGGGCGATGGCGAGCTGGTTGTCCACCATCACTGCTGGTGGGTGAGCTTCCACACCGGTCAGCTCGCCCAGCAGCCGGCGTAGCCACACAACTTTGCACGCCACTGTGGCCGCCACTACGTACTCTGCCTCGCACGTAGATAGCGCCACCACCTTCTGTTTCAGTGACAGCCATGATATTGGGGCCGACTCAAGGAAGACGAGCACGCCAGAGGTGCTCCGTCGCCCGTCGATGTCCCCTGCCATGTCTACATCGCTGAACACAGTGAGCTGCAGCCTACTCTTGCCAGTCTTTGGGAAGATGATCCCATGATCTACCGTCCCCTTGACGTAGCATAGTAGCCGCTTCACCGCAGCCTAGTGATCCTCTCTAGGATCCTTCATGAAGTGACTGACATAGCCCACGGTGAACGCAATGTCCAGCCTCATGTCGACTAGGTAGCGCAGACCACCGACGATGCTCTGGTAGAGTGTTGCATCCACCTTCGCTGTGGTACTGGCCTTCGTCAGCTTTAGCCGCTCCTCCATCGGAGTCGCGCATGGCTTGCACTCAGCCATGCCGCTCCTCTCCAACAGCTTGGAGGCATACGCACTCTGACCGAGCATGAGTTCCTCCTTCCCCTGTCTCACCTCGATGCCAAGGTAGTAGGAGAGTGCGCCAAGATCGCTCATTCAAAAACGAGCCGCCATCTCGCGCTTGAAGCTGTTGATGTCCTCTGTGCGCGTACCGGTGACGATTAAGTCATCCACATACACGTCGACCATGAGCTCCTCCTTCCCCCATCGTCGTGTGTAGAGCGCGTGCTCAGTTGCGCACCTTTGGAACCCAAGCTCGCCTAGCGTGGCGTCAAGCTTGGTGTTCCATGCTCGAGGGGCCTACCACAGCTCGTAGAGCGCTTTGCGCAGTTGGAGCACCCTGTGCTCCTCTCCCTTGACGGCCAAACCTGGAGGTTGCCTGACGAAGACTATCTCTGCCAGCTTGCCATTGAGGAAGGCCGATTTGACGTCCAAGTGATGGACGCGCTAGTCCTTTGCTGCTACCAAAGCAAGTAGCAAACGGACCGACTCCATGCGCGCTACTGGCGCAAAGACTTCCTCGAAGTCTATGCCCTTGCGTTGAACAAAGCCTCGGGCGATGAGACACGCCTTGTGCTTGACAATGGCACCGAGCTCATCCCGCTTGACCTTGTACACCCACTTTAGGCTGATCGGACGACATCCTAGAGGTGGATCGACGAGCTACCAAGTCTTGTTTTCCTCGATCACCTTCATCTCCTCCAACATCGCCTGTCACCAGTTTCCATCACGCTCGGCTAGCGCGAACGTGGGTGGCTCCTCTACAATGACGAGTAGTAGCTCTGCGTCGTTGAGCAACCTGCCCACCAGACCTGAGGGACCTTTGCCACCGACGATGTCGTCCAGCCTGTGGAACCGCACCTCCTCACCTTCGTGGAAGGCGTCCACGAACTCAGTGATATCACCGGGAGGTGAGGCAAACTCGATCGGTGTCAATGGAGTTCCCTATTCTGTCGGAGTGCTTGGCATAGCACCTAGAGTGCTCGGCACTACTTCTGGATAGCTCGTCATAACTCCTGCAGTGTTCGGCCACACTGTAGGAGTGCCCTGCCTCAGTCTTGGGCTAGTCGACACCACTGTAAGACGTCTTGGTTCCACCACGGTAGTGCTCGGCACCCGTCCTAGAGTGGTTGCCACCATTGCAGAACCTCCCAGCACCACTCCTAGTGTGCTCGGCATCCCTCCAGAAGTGCTCGGCACTCCTCCTGGAGTGCTCGACATCCCTCCCAAAGTGCTCGGCACTGCCCCAGGAGTGCTCGGCTCTACCGCCGGAGTGCTCGGCACTCCTCCCGGAGTGCTTGGCACCTCTTCCCCAGCGTCTCCACCACCGTGGATGACCAAGTGCTCGAATATGAAGGTGTTGGTGAAGCTGCCAGCTTCCCTTGTGCTCGGACTGCTCCAGTCCCAAGCCGCCTCCTTATCGAACACAACGTCACGCGAGACAAGCACCTTGTCTTCGCGTGGGTCATAGAGTCGATACGCCTTGGTACCCTCTGTGTAGCCTAGGAACACCATGGGTGTGCTCCTATCCTCTAGCTTGGTGAGGTACAGCTTCATCTTCCTGACGTGGCCGATGCAGCTAAATGTCTAGAGGAAGGACACGCTCGGCTTGCGCCCATACCAAGCTTCGAAAGATGTCTTGCCCGTCAGGGCCTTGGTTAGAGATCGATTAAGGATGAACACCGCCGTGGTCACTGC